TAGCCCAGCGTCATCAGATCTCAGAAGCTAAGGAGGGTTGGCCCTGGCTAGTATTTGGATGGGAGACATGCAAGGAGTCCAGGGTCGTGACATGGAGCAAGGCGATGGCAAACCACCTCTGATTGTCTCTGAAGGTCTCTTGCCCTGAAAACCCTACAGGGCTGCCATAAGTCAGCTATGACTTGACAGCTAAATATGCGTACGCGTGTATATGTGTGTGTATGTGAGAGAGATCGAGAGATCTGCACATCGACAGGCTATTTAGCAAGTGATGCGGAGCTCCTTTGAGGACAGGATGGGGCCAGTAGGCACAGTTCTGTGTACTTATCACATTTCCCCCCCTAACCTTCCTTCAAGGAGTTCAGGGTGACATTTATTGATCACCACCATTTTATCCCCACAAGAGGCTAGCGTGGTGGGGGAGAGAGAGAGAGAGGCCATCCCAAGATTCCTGGCTCCAGCTGGCCACTACGTCACACTGGTTTCCCTGCCCCTCCCCCCCCACGAGTGCCAACTGTATGCCAACATCATGTATGCCAACCTCCTAATTGTGTGGAACGTCAACCTCTGTATTTGCATCCGTCACAAAAGAGACGGGGTGTTTGGCTACTCCGTGTGGAACGTCAACCTCTGTATTTGCATCTGTCACAAAAGAGAAGGGGGTGGTGGTGTTTGGCTACTCTGTCTTACCGAAGGCTGTGCGACTTCTTCTTAATCTCATTCCAGCACAGATTCATCTCCAGAGGCATCTGAGGCCCAACGGCGCCGTTTGGAGGCTGCTGGCTCACGCAGGCCGGCACGGAGCCATCTGGGGCTGTTTTAACCTAGGCAGAAATAAAGAAAGCGACACACGGTGTCATTCATGGGACGGGAGCAGTGCCTGGTAGCTAGGAGGAAAGGAAGATACGAGGAAGTTTGTTCTGGTGCTCTGCTCTTTTCTGAAACCCCTCTGTGTGAGTGTGGGTGCGTGGCCCCGAAAAGGGAAGATGGATGAGATGCAACAGGATTTATCAGAATATTTTTAAATGATTTATTAATGTTTCACTTGATTAAAGACATTTTACTTAAATAATCTTTTGAAATTTCAGACTTGATTCAGTTTGTGAATGTCCAAGGTTTTTGATTTAAAAGTCTTTCTTTCTGTTTTAGACTTTTTAATAAATTCATTTATTTCATAATATTCAATACATGAGACTATGTAATACATAACATAATACCATATCCATGAGGTGAGATCTAACAATATCTCTTATTTTGACTAATCCTTTAGATGTATTTCTATTCCAAAAAGTAAGGAAGGGAGACTAGATTTGTACAAACTTATCTTGTGCATATCTGTCTCCAACCTACAACTTCCTATATGCAGATATTTTCCTTAATAGAAGAGTGAGGAGATTGGATGTATACCCCGCCCTTCACTACCCAAAGGAGTCTCAGAGCGGCTTACAAACTCCTTTCCCTTCCCCTCCCCACAACAGACACCCTGTGAGGTAAATGGGGCTGAGAGAGCTCTGACAGAAACTGCTCTTTTTCAAGAACAGCTGAGCCAGAACTATGGCTTGCCCAAGGTTATCCAGCAGTACAAGTGGAGGAGTGGAGAATCAAACCTGGTTTTCCCTGATTAGAGTATGCACACTTAGCCACTACACCATCTTTCTGTACAAGAGATTGGATTTATACCCCACCCTTCATTCAGAATCTCAGAGCCTTCCCTTCCTCTCCCCACAACAGACACCCTGTGAGGTAGGTGGGGCTGAGAGAGCTCTCTTGAGAACTGCTCTTGAGAGAACAGCTCTGAGAGAACTGTGGCTTGCCCAAGGTCACCCAGCTGGGTGCATGTGGAGGAGTGCGGAATCAAACCCGGTTCTCCCAGATTAGAGTCCATGCTCCTAACCACTACACCAAACTGGCTTTAACCACTACACCAAACATAGTATACCATACTTTCCTTAGCCATTTCTCAATATCTGGTGCTTTCTCCTGTCTCCATGCCACAGCTATTAACCTTCTGGCTGTGGTGAATACATTTCCTATTAACCACATTTTGTTGCCTGAGATCCCTCTAGGCATAATGTCCAAAAGAGCTACACTAGGATCTTTCTGTATTTCTATAGGCAGAATTTCTCTCACTAATGGGACAGCACCTTACTCCAAACAAAGTTTATAATTGCGCACTACCACCAGATATGAATTAATAAGCCCATATGTCTTTTACACATCCAGCATATATTTGATGTGGAAGATGTTATTTTCCTTAATCTGTCTGATGGTGTCAAATACCACCGATACGTGAGTTTAATAATATCTTCCTTACTGTTACATTCGCTGAAACATTCCTTTGTTTTTAAATTATTCGAGAATGGTTTAAACCCCCTGACTATAGGGCTGCAACATTTACCTGCTGTTCTGCAGTCAGGATTTGCAGCACACACCTGGTATTTAAAGGAATATTGCCTTGGTACATGAAAAAAATAGAACAGGAGTCTGGTGCCGTTGTAAAGACAATTTCCCCCCAGCATAAGCTTTCATGAGTCAGAGTTCACTTCATCAGATACGCAAGAGTATAAATCTATCAAGCTCGATGTTAAATACACAACAGGAAGGGGGGGGTGTTACAAAGAGAGGCTGGTTCAAAACAAGATACATTCCAAACTTTAATCAGTCCACTCAGCATGGGTGTGAGATGCTTCCAACGGTTGTTAGTCAAAATGTAAAATGTAGCACAGAATGAAGTGAGATAAGCAGAGGCAACAGAACATTACGGAGATATAGTTCAAATAATGACAATCTGTGCAGGGTGGAAAATGCAAGATATTAACACCTGCAGTGAGTCAGAAACGAGAAGCCTCGGTTAAGACACGACTAACTAATGGTAGCATACCGGGCTTTTTTTGTAGAATAAGCCCAGCAGGAACTCATTAGCATAATAGGCCATACCCAACAGCAGGGACTCATTAGCATATTAGGCCACACCCTTGACAGCACAGCTCATTAGAATATTAGGCCACACCCCATGTTACCAGAAGTGTGGCCATCCAGCCACACCCACCTTTTGCTTCTTATTCTGTTTACTCTGTTTGTTGTCAAAACCCTGGGCTTTTTTTGTAGCAGGAACTCCTTTGCATGTTAGGCCACACACCCCTAATGTAGCCAATCCTAATGAGCTTCTTTTGTTGGGTGTGGCCTATTATGCTAATGAGTTCATGATGGGTTTGGCCAACTTGGGAGCCAGCCGGAACGCCGTTCCTGTGTGTTCCTGCCCAAAAATAGCCCTGGTAGTATATATTTTGTCAGTCTTTATGATACCATTGGACTGTTTTGTTTTGCTGCTACTGACAAGCACATCCACGTACATGAAGGCTCCATCTCTTTCGGACCAGGGTCAATTTTTATTATTTATTTTGCCTCCAAGTCACAGCTGACTTATGGCAAACCCATGGGGTTTTCAAGGCAAGAGATATCCAGAGGTAGTCTGCCTCCATGTCAGGACCTTGGACTTTCCTGGTGGTCTCTCATCCAAATACTGACCAGAGCTGACCCTGCTTAGCTTCTGAGATCTGACTAGATCAGGCTAGCCTGGGCTATCCAACTCAGGGATCGATTTTAACAGGCTTTTATAACTGTGGAATGAAATGAGGGTTGCCAGCTCTGGGCCGGGAAATGCCGGGCGATCCTGAGGGCGGAGCATGGAGAGGGTGGTGTCTGGGGGAGGGACTTCAATGGGGTCTATCGCTAGAGTCCACCCTCCAAAGCAGCCATTTTCTCCAAAGCAGCAGACAACTCTGTTGTCTGGAGATCAGACGTAAAAGCAGGAGATCTCCAGGCCCCACCTGGAGGTTGGCAACCTTAGGAATGATAGGAGGGTACTCCTAAAGCGCCGTTCGATCCAGTGGACAGAGCTAGAAATAAAGGAGCAGATTCCTTTTAAGTGAATCAGAAGTGAGACCAGTGCCACACCTGGCTTTATTATAAGAAAACACTAGAGGGAAGCCTAGGGCAGCATTTTGCCAGGCCAGTAACTTCATTCTCACACAGCTAATGTTCTGTTCAGGCTTTTGTAAAACAAGGGTGGTCCAGCTTCAGTTCAGGTTGGCTTTTTGTTTCTATGAGAATTCACAGGGTTCACCCATTGTGTTTTAAATTTACAAAGCAAGACTGCATGGCCAGGATATTTTTGCAGTTAAGGCATCAGTTATCTGCACTCTCCATCCTGGGAACTCACTTTTGCTTAAGAATCGCCCTTCTGTCTACTAGTTCAGCAGTTTTTGTAAGAATCCCAGAAACCATCAGGCAGTTGGGACCTGGAAACCAAACAGTGCCCCACTGCAGTGCTTCCAATCACCCATTTCTGTTTTAGGAGCCGCATGGCTGTCTATGATCCAGCAGGTGCATTTTCCCCTCACTGCCTCTTCATGGCAGGAAAAGTAGTCCCTCTATAATCTCTGCCTGTCACTGAATATATTAAAAGCACAGGAAAACTGCCATGGGGGTGGGGGAAGGCTGCGGTCACACACGCTAAATAATCCACTTTCAACGCACTTTCCAACTGGATTTTGCCAGTTCACACAACAGGAAAAATCGAGTTCCAAAGTGGAGTGAACGTGGACTGAACGTGGATTGTTTAGTGTGTGTGTGACCGTAAAAATCCAGTTCCAAAGTGCACTGAAAGTGGATTGAAAATGGATTATTTAGTGTGTGTGTGACCGCAGCCAGAGAGTTTGACAGAACTCTAATAACCTGATGCTGAAGAACACCAGGCAGCAAAGGGAAGAATGGGATACAACCAGGGCTTTTTTGTTCTCAAGAGGGAAATGTTCAATCTGTATGCTGAAAACTCGTTCACTTTTAAATATTTTTGAAAAGAATTTTGTCGAAGAGGTTCTGGAACTCCATTCCGGCACATTCCCCCAGATAAAAAAGCCCTGGACACACCCATTGACATTTCAAAGAGAACAGGTAGATTTGTTCTATTTTGAGAGAGCAGCGAGAGCATATAAACCAAATGAGTCAATCCCCATGAGGTCTGGTGGCATGACACCACCTGAGCCCAAGGGAGTTTTAAAATACTAAACCCTGAAATACATTTCCTTAAAATCCCAAATAAATGTCTTTCTAAGTTGCCCACCCATCAATACTCTGCAAACATGCTGAATTTCAGAATTTAGCAGAACTATGGGATTAGGTGCCTAAACAGATAGTTTGTACTGTATTGTACCTGGGTTTAAGTTCTCAAGTAAAAAAAACCCAGATACTTTATTTTCCATTGCATAACATCTAAAACTCTGCAGACATACACATTTCATATTTAAACATAAGCAGAACGCTGAACCGGGAGGGAAGGTGGCATGCTATAGCCCGATCTCGTCAGATCTCAGAAGCTAAGCAGGGTCAGTACTTGGAAGGGAGACCCCCAAGGAAGACTCTGCAGGGGAAGGCACTGGCAAACCACCTCTGCTTCCCACCTGCCTTGAAAGACCTTTGCTAGGGTCACCATATGTTGGCTGCAACTCGATGGCACTTTATACACACCCAGAATGCTACGCCAGTTTGGTGTAGTGGTTAAGTGTGTGGACTCTAATCTGGGAGAACCAGGTTTGATTCCCCACTCCTCCACTTGCACCTGGCTGGATGACCTTGGGCAAGCCGTAGTTCTGATAAGAGCTGTTCTTGAGAAAGAGCCGTTTCTGTCAGAGCTCTCTCAGCCCCACCTACCTCACAGGGTGTCTGTTGTGGGGAGGGGGAGGGAAAGGGAAAGGAGTTTG